AAAAATCATTTAGATTACATTACTTCAAGTCATGCCAGGCCAACCGGGGAAGATTCATTTTGGAAACTAGTGATGCAACATAATGGCACAGACTTCCTTGTATTAGTTTTCTATTTTCTTTGGTCGGGGCTAGCTAATCGGACTTGCCGCATACTCTATTCAGATGCCATCTATCGACGCCCAAAGTACATTAAGAACCCTTCACTTTTTCGGTTTCCTAATAGTAGAACCGAAAAATTACTTTAAGATCATTTGGAGCCATTTTTAACAAAATATCATTTAAGCATTACTATAAATGCGAAATTTGAAGCTCTTTTTCACAGGCATCTTTTTAGTTTTCGAAAAACTTCACTAAAAGGCATTGAAAGTACATTAACTCACAAACGCAGTGTATACAGGTCGCTGGAAATATGCGTAGTAGCGACGGAAGAGCTATTTAAAAAAATTACATTTGTGTAAAAGTAATTTTTGAAAAAGCAAAATGAATTTATTGTTATATTAAAGAGTGCCATTGGACTATTCGTTGGAAAAGTTTGAAGAAAAAATTGGAGCCATTTTTGAGAAAATGGCGATTAAGAGTTTCTGAAAACGCGAAATTTTGAATTCATTTTCACAGAAAACTGTTGAATTTTCGAGAACCTTTATATGACATTATTAAGTACCCGCAAATCTTAAAGAATTTGTTTCAAAATCTCGAAGCTTCGACTCGAGCCAGTTTTCTTTAATTTGGAAAAATTCCACGTGTGGGTTAGGCGCTGGTGTTGTTCACAGACGGATGGACGATTTGAAAGAAAAATTTAAAAAAAACACTTTTTCGGTATGAGAGGACCCCAAAATGTGTATTTCCGTTGAAATCTCTAAATCGGTTTTTCGCAGCATTACATAACTTTCCCTATACTACGTATACGGAAAAGATAAATGGCATGAACCGACCGGTGTCATGGCTCAAAATGCAGTAGATTCGCTTTGTGAAGAAAGTTCCATTTATGCTCGATCACAAAGGCACTCTTAAAGATTTACCATTTTCCTCTCTATGATTAAGTTTAAAGAAAAAAATTGGAGCTGGAAATATTGCGAGAAAACGTAAACTTTTCAATAAATATACGTGACGTTAATTAATGAACTAAATATGGACAAATAATTTACTTAAAGGAAAAATGTCTTTCTTCAATTATGTAGTAGCAGGAAAATTCACATTTTTGATAATTCAGAGTGAACAGAGAAAATTGGACCTACGCCACCCACCTTTATAAGTATAGTTTACTCTATTCTTTCAAAAAAATTGACGCCATTTTTGAGAAAATTTTGAAAGTGAACCAGGGGCTTCATGTAAAGTACCCCCAGATATAAAAGAAAGTTTTTCAAAATTGCAGCGCCTCGATTCGAACCAGACCAACCGGAAAATCCTATGTTTGGTTTGGGCACAGGTATTGTTCACACAGGGACGAACGGACGTTCTGAAAACGAAAGACTTTTCGGTATAAGGGGACCTAAAACATGTATTTCCGTTAGAATCTCGAAGTTGATTTTCTGCAGCATTACATAACGTCCTCTATACTACGTATATACGTACGTATACTAGAAATTAAAAATCGTGCGAACAGTGTATGTTCGAGTTCATTGACGGACGAACGGACATTTTGCTTGCATGGACCATGGATCGTGGAATCTGACAAAGTGTTGGAGGAAGTAATTTTCTACAAACCCGAAGAAGACGTTTTAACAACTTTTTGTGTATCAGGGCCTCACAATACGAGTTTTCGTGTAGAAAAATTGCCTTTTCCCGCAGGATTAATTTCTCTGAACTACTGAGTTGTTATAGGGCAAGTTTCTCTCGTACCACCAATAAAAATTATTTATAATTACAATTATTGTTCTTTGAAACATGAAATTCGTCTTTCCGCATAAAAGAGCATTCTTAATATAATGGGAGAGATAGCAAGGCACGAGTCATTATAGTTATAAAATGATAATGTATTAGGGAAAGGTTACTCATATCACGCAAAAGAAACTCATATTTTTCAAAAATTGTAGAGAATCTTATTCAAAGATCCAATTTTGTAGGAAAGATTTTATTTAAAACAAAATACATTGAGAATAATATATCTGTTTCTAATATTGTAGTTGTAGAAAGAATTTTTAACTTTTGCAATTTTCAAAACTTCAATAAATTTAAAGAAAATGAATCACGTCATTCTTTTAAGTGTTCGTTTCGCAATCTAACGACAAAGTTTAATAAAACAATTGGAGCCATTTTTGAGAAAATTTGGAAATGTTAAGGCTTCATGTAAAGTAACCCCAAAATCTATGGGCCACAACGTAAACGATCGATCGGTAAATATCAGTTTTGATGAAAACTCTACTTACGTTTATCCGCTGGTGTTGTTGACAGATGGGAAGGACAGACAGACGTTTTGCCGTAAACCAGTTTTTCGGTATCAAGCAGTGATGACTTGTGCTTAGGTTGCACGGTTGCACAACCCCCCAAAACCCTTATAATATGTTAAGTATAAATTTCATTTTAATGACATTCAATAATCAAGATTTCACAGCAATATTGATGTTGAAATCATTTTGAAATCAAAGAGCGCTCTCTCCGACATCAGGTGCTCTCCCAAACAGTGCACCATTAGTTCAGTTGACAGGTACTGAAAGAGGAGAATGGCCTGGAAAAAGGTCATATAAACGTTTTTCTTTGGGTATATTGTACACAGGTACTAGTTAAAACTCACAAGTGTTCGACCTCCTTCGTTAACACCAAGAGACCCGAAAACCTATTTTTCTGACCTTTTCCGTTTTTTCTCTCTACTGTATAACTCTAATGTTAAGTCCTGTAGAAAAATGACTAAAATCAATTGAGAAGAGCATAACATTTCTCACAATTTTCGTATAAAAAAACTTTTTTCAAAACTAAATGATTTAACTACACGTTGAAAAAAAGTCAATTGTTAATTTCTTTTCCTCTTCTCTAATGTGAGCAAAATATAATTACTATTATTTTATTAAATTTATATATTAATGTACTTCAAATAAAAATAATTATTTCATGTAAAACTACGATTATTTATCTCATCGTCGATCTAATAATTGACTCACATATGTACCCATTGCCGAAAATATTAATACAGCCTACAAAAAAATAATGTGTATATGTGTGTTCGTGTTCCAGTCCAATGTGAGAGCAATGTCACTAACGAAATTTGGCTTGCGTTTCAATGGGGTAATTACAACGAGGGAAATAATTATGTTGGGGGTAATACATACCAGAAGTGTGGGTGGGGAGTGATAGTTACGAGAGTAAGCAACCCGCAATGCATCGCATATATCTCGTGTAATGTGCACAGTATCCGTGACGGACGGGGATGTTTAATGGATAATAGTTTGATAAATAACCCAATTTTAAAGGAAATGAAATTCGCTACTTTCTATTTTTTTATTTTTGCCTTCCCCGACTATGTACGTATATAAGAAGTAAAATACGTAGTATAGGGAAAGTTATGTAATGCTGCTCTTCGAGATTTCAACAGAAATACACTTTTTGCGGCCCCTTGAAACGGAAAAACTGTTGTTGTTTTTCTTTCAAAACGTCGGCCCATCCGTCTGTCAGGTGTATGTGAACAACACTAACGCCAAAACCATGCGAAGCATTTTTTCCAAATTGTAGAAATCCCTTATTGATATTGGCTGTTCGGTTGACGCCGCGTCGCAGGCTGTGTTGACGTTTCGACCATCTTGTTGTGGTCCTCCTCAGGTCAAAAATTGTTCCAAAATTTGCCGTTAATTGAGTTTTCTGAATCAAATACCCACAAAAAGAATTTTGGCTAAACCACATGTTTGATTTTTTTCTAAATTTAGCAACTGGATTTATCCACTTTTTCGTAGCCAGGACTCTGTAATAAGAGTTTTTGTGCTAACAATTAGTCGTTTTCGCGCAGCAATACATAACTTCCTGTTTACCGCGGTAAGAGTAGCGAGAAAGTAAAAATAACCACCTCAAATCGAAGGGGACGCGAGACCAGTCGATCGACCGTAGATCGATTGTGGAACATTAATTTTAATGAGAATCATGCTCACGTTTAGACACTAACATTGTTCATGGACTGATGGAGGGGCGTTTTGCCGTAAACCAATTTTTTGATAACAGCGGCTCATTAACCATGAGTTTTGACCCCACAACGTGGTAGCGATCGATGTTTACTACATTCAGAAATATTTATTCACTTTTTGGTATCAGGGCCCCACAAGCCGAGTTATTCTGTTAAAGTATCACCGTTTTTGGCCACAGTATTTCAATATTCCCTCTATACTAAGTATTATGCGAGAAAATAAAAATCAGTATCTCCAATAATGTAGTTGTGCAAGGGCTTTCAGAAAACTCCCAAGGGTGAAAATTGGGAATATGCCATCTTTATAAGTGTTTTCACTCTGTTCTTTAAAGAAAAAAACTTGGAGCCAGTTTGGGAAAACTTCAAAGTACCACCAAAATTTAGAGTAGTCTTTTAAAAATCGAGTCGGGCAGATCGACTGGGGAGTATTCAGCTTGGAAATAAGAGTAGTTTAGGCGCTAGTGCTGTTCACAAAAAAACGAACAGACGGGAGTTTTGAAGAAAAAAACAAACAAACAATCTTTCGTTATCGGAGGATTCTAAAATGTGCATTTCCGTTGAAATCTCGAAATCGATTTTCCTCAGCATTCAATAACTTTTTCTACACTCATATATTACTCTGTATATACATATGTATACAAAAAAGTTAATACAGAATTGGATAAATAAATACAGAATTTGATTTGTATTTGTTCTTTTCTAGAAACTCATTCCTAACAATAAAATCCAAAAATTACGTGAATAATTTTACAATGAAAGTGTTGATCATGCCGCGTAATCTCTAGCTCAAATTTCTAGAAAGAGTATACTTTCGTGTCACGATTTTATATTGCTGTAATATCTGAATTATAAGGTAAATAACTGCTGTAAATTATGAAAGTGAAAAAGACTTACCTCAAAGTATGGGCTGCATGCACTCAAAATCATTTTGTGAACGTTGAGGTATTGCCCTTCCGCGGCGAGAGTGCAATCTACAAAAGTGTTCCTTTCGAAGAGTTTCTCAAATGTCGAGACTAACGAGCCTTTGTGCTCGTGCCATTGAAGGAACAGCCACTGTTCGGGTCCCATGGTCTGCGCTCACCTGCACATGCATCAGACGCACGTCAGCAAAGCGCGTAATTCACTCCCCGCCCCCGCCCAGCTAGCTCTTGGCTTACCAGGGCCTTCTTCCACTTTAAAGAATACGTCTATTTTACGATAATCACATTTATTGCCAACATTTCCTTTAAATTTCCACATTTACGTATACATGTAATGAACTTGTAGGAGACATAATTCTCCTAGGTTGGCTCTTAAACTAAATATTTGGATATTGGTATTGTGAGTTTTCGTTGGCATTTACAATGCGAGATAAATTTTACAATCACATTTAGTGAGGTCGATTATAATATATTATATAAATATAATATATTATATATTAGTTATATTTATATTATATAACAAGTATATTATATGTATAATGCAAAATATACTTTGTAAAAAACCTTGTGTGTGTGTGTGTGAAATAAAAAGTTTTTACAAAGTATATTTTGTATATATTATGTATTGTGCGTGTGTGTGTGTGTGTGTGTGTGTGTGTGTGTGTGTGTGTGTGTGTGTGTGTGCTATTTTCAATTGGACTATGTGGAACTTCGGACTACTTTGGAATTTTGGAACCTCGGGGCTACCTCTCGAAATAATCGGGGGAGGGGGGGCGTGCACCTGTTAGAACTTGATTGTTTTTCTGTAGTTCCTTGTTTTGGTTTTCAGTATTATTGCATTAATAATTATTGTTGCACAAACCTCGGCTTCTTCGGCCTTACTCCATGCTAAACCAATACAACTCCATTAAAAATGAGCTCAATAAATTATAAATTATGGAAGAATCAGCCTAAGGAAGGTACTGAAATGACAGTTCGCTAGACAAATGCACATCATATGTACTTCAGAGAAGTATTCCTCCGCCGCACACCTGTTCAGTCACGCCTCTTCGGAAAGTGTTATTGTTTGTTTATGCGTCCCATTAACACATTATGGCTTCTCGTGGTTCACAACCATGAAATTGTATAAAAAATAAATTGATAAAACGCAAAGCACGGAACCGCGCAACACTCTCGGTAACCTTACCGCATAGAAGCACGAATAACTTGCATCAGTACGAAACTCACATTGAAAACTCGATTTTAAAATAAACGTAATACTTATCACACAAAAAGTATATTAAGTGTAATGTTTATAAAACATATTTTTAGAGAACACAGTACAGCACTTCCTAATTTCAATTATTTCTTGTGGCGCACTATATTTTCGTCGGACGAGGACATCACAAAAGGAAGCGTGGAAGCCATTTAAAGTTAGCCAACTGCAAACGAACGAATGGAGGAAGGAGAGTCTAAAAGGCTCAAGGACCCAACAACCACACCACCTTCAGTTATGTTGCCAGCATTAGCTGTCAAATGGTCATAAAGAACGCTCTTTATTACTTATTAAAAAACGTCATTTAATTGTCAACGTTTTTGCGAATTAGTATACAGTTCTTTGATAACCCTATTGTTCGCAGCATATAATTATTAAGAGTTCTAAAATTGTACGACAGAAAAATAGTTTTAAAAATGGTTGGAATAAATTAGCCACTTCACAAAGCAATTTTCGCCAGTATATATCCATCACTGCCTTAACCAAAATACTATACAATTGGTATCGAAATTTATCCTTTTAATGCCAGTCATTTAACTCATCTATAAAGGTAAAAGATATACTGGAAAAAGGAACTTTAATTTGAATGTTTACTTTTCCCAACAACACATCTTACATTCTGGTAATTCTATTAACGTCGAAAGGACGTTTAGTTAAAGACCAGGAATGACAGATTTAGTATTTTCGTTTGATTATATTTTTCGGATGCTGCATGTGTTCCCAAAGCGTTCATAGTTTATCATGTTGAACAAAGTTTTTAATTTGGCGAAAAACAAGAAATACATTTTGAAATTGTTGGGAAACTGTTCCGATGTCAATATTGTCCCCCTACTTGAGTTCGTATAACACAACATCTTTTAGACTAATTTAAAAATCATTAATTAAAATTTGAAATAAATATCTCTTTGATTTCTGTTTAAATGGTTTGATATGTGTAGATCCACATTCTGTAAAATACGACGTTTCCAATATACATTCCCACTATAATTCATTCATTAATACACTTTAAGTTAGCATATCAATTTCTAACCTCGGAAGTGCATTTGTGTATTGCGTCTCTACCTTTCGTGGTGTCAATAACAATAAAGACACAAAAGCAAATATTTCTACTCTTACCTTATATTACATTACACGTAATATAATTTTATCTATTTTTAAAATGTAAATAAAGAATCGAAGCAACTTGTACAACTAAATTGTTCTACAATGTTACATTTTAAATTATTTATATCAACAGAAAGGTTATATGAAAATGAAATTATGTAGTGAATAATTGTTAATTATGTTGTGACGATGAAGTCACATTAAATGTTTTACTTTGCATCGTTATGATTATGACCTCAGGCTTTGAACTAATTGGTGTTAAGGTGTCCTTGTCGTTTAAAAATGTATTTATATTTTATTCCAGTCGTGAGCGATTTTTTAACACAATAAGCAACATAATATGCTAATGCATGGTCTAATGTAGCAGCGAGAAAAAAAACTTCTTAATCTTTTTGTCGGCTTTTTAGGTCTTCTTTAAACGTCTACACACCTTTTTAAACAGAACGACGAGAAGGATGTAATAGATGACTCTTGGAGGATATTTCACACAGCTTGTCTGTCCACCACAGGCAATGTCCCCTCAACAAAAGATCGTTACCATCGCCACCCCCAAAACGAAAGAACGGAGTAAACTAAAGCGCGGACTATATAGTATTTGGTGAAACCGAAATAAGGAAACAAAAAAATCTACCAATTCGCAAGTTTTGTTGAAACTTTTTCCTAATTGGAAATTTTAGATTCCGAAATATCTGAATTGCTCAGTTCTGAAATGAACTCAAGTACTTTTTTTCGATATTAGGCAAAATTTATAATCTACTACTAATCTTAAATGTGTTGACACACATTTGAATGTAATTTGGTGAAAATTAAAAAATACTTAGGACCCATTTGGAACTCAAGAGATTCATTTATTCATAATATTCATCTCAACTATAAATAACAACTACAAATAAATAATGGAACTTGTTCAAATGGCCAATTACGTCAAAAAAACTTCCTGCAAATTGAAAATGGTCTGCGCTTGACCGACAGACATTCGTTTCGAGTGGCAACAATTGATGCTGAGTTGCCGAATGGCAAATATTCTTCACCCTACATCATATAGCAGATTAAAGAATTGTAAGTAATAACATTACTGTTTGATAATATTTCCAATTTAATAATAATAAAGTGAAAATGATAGTTTAGCAACAAAAATGCCAAAGTTACTGGGATGATGTTTTTAGTTGGAATAAGAGTGAGGTATATACTACATTATATTACTGATAATATTAGTATGTGTGTGTGCTTATATATATATATATATATATATATATATATATATATATATATATATATATATATATATATATATGCACACCTTTATCTCTACCTTTACAGTGAAATTGCATTCAGTGCATTGCATTGCATACAGTGAAATTGCATTAACGAAAAACAAGGAGAGTTCTGATTAATAATTATAGTGTGTGTAATAATTAACGTGATCTTATTAACGGTACGGATTGTGTTAGGATTACACTGTGGTTCTTTAAAGCGCAGTAACGTAGGACTTTTCAATCTTTTATCCTCTCTCGTTATGTGCAAATGTTCTTAAGCAAAAAAACTAAGCAAGACAATGTTCAACATAAGCATTGGTCTTGCTAATTAGTATCTCCAACACTGGATACGATTTTCGAAAGCTCAGGTATTTTTGAAATACCGTCACCTATACGTGGATTTATTTATAATGGCCCTTGACGTTTAATCAGCTGTTACGGAGTCATCCAATGAATCCGCATCAGCTAATTGGATGTCACTGAAACAGCTGACTTACGTCAAGAGCCACTAAAAATAAAGGGAAGTATTAAGTTGGTTTATCTATTATAAATGTAATAATACATCGAGAGTCAACGAGTCATTGTCTAAGAATATTTTACTCTGGTTTATCTCTAAAGGCTTGTTTAGATTATTTGGGAGAGAATTCATATTTCAGACAAACAGCCAAGTTTCAAGAAATCGGAATGTTCGGGGATTGCATTTTTCTTCCATACCCCATGTACTAGTTTGATTTTGACATTTGAGAGGGGATCAGATTGCAACAAGATTGTCAGACGTACGATAATTCTTAATGATGTACTATTATTGTACAAAAACAATACAATAAATGTACGATAATGTGATCTAATAGTTCACAGCTATCAGAATGTACGTGGATTTTTATTCTTTCCTATTTGTCAGGTAGTAGTTGAACTATTTTTGACGTAAAAATATTAAATTTAATTAAATAAGAAAGGGTTATTCTTTACTCAAAGAATCATCATTTGTGAACTTTGACGTTAATTTCAAAATTCAATCCGGAATTAGTGTACAATAACATCCATTTATTTAGTTTAGAATAACTATCCTTTATATAAATTAGTTAACATTAACATTGAAGAAACCGGCAATTTATAAATGAATTAAATCACTAAAACCGCAAATAAAAATGAATTGGCAGAAAAATATATTTCTTTAAAATTTAGTGCTTACATTTCGTATTAAAATTTGTGCCGTCCCATTCTATTAGTTGTCTTTTTTAGTTCGTATTTGTCTATTTTTGTTGGATTAATTTGAAAAGATCCTGAGACCGATTATTCTTATCCTTTTAGTACTTCAACTAGTACTGCCTCAACCACACTTTTCTTGTATAATTTCAATCTTTGCAATTTTCAAAAATTCAGAAATTTCAACGAAAATGAGACTCATGCCATTCTTAAGCGTCGTTTATTTTGAGGAAAAATTTTGGAGACGTATATGACAAATTTTAAAATATAATTTGCATTAAATTCAACAAGAAATTACACGAAAAATATATTTTTTTCAAAAAATGACAA